CCCATCCGGCAGGGTTCATGTATGACCCCCGAGCACTGCACCCCGGCATGCAGCAGGGCGGCGCCCCCCCGCCGCACATGATGCCCCAGGCAGCGGGAGGCGGGATGCCATACACCGGCCAGCCGTACCCGGACCCCCGCTACGCTGCCCAGAGACCCCACCCACACCTGATGGAGGTGCTGCAGCGGCCCCAGCTGCCCTACCCCCCCGGGCAAACGCGCATGGCCTTGTACCGACACCCCAGGGCTGCGGGGCACTTCCAGGGCATGATGGTTCAGCAGAGGGGGCCGGAGCGCTTCCTGCACCCGGGGTAACTAATATGCTTCCTCTACATTCTGAGGGTTTCAGAGATTTAAGTAAATTGGTTTTATTCCTTCTGAAACTTTCATTACTTCTGTCAATTGGCCCCAGTAAGGTCCAGGTGAGGCCCAGTAAGGTCCAGGTGAGGCCCAGTAAGGCCCAGGTGAGGCCCAGTAAGGCCCCAGTAAGGTCCAGGTGAGGCCCAGTAAGGTCCAGGTGAGGCCCAGTAAGGTCCAGGTGAGGCCCAGTAAGGTCCAGGTGCCCTGGTCGGACCTCGGTGACGCCCGTCTCATCGGGACAGTTACGCAGGAAGGCCAGATAAAAACAACTTTACACAAGAGCCAATCACAACTCAGTTTATTGCCACATTAATAATAGTTAATATGAAATTGTTGAGCATCACAACAATGATGGGATTTTAATAAAGCGATATCAAACATGTTGATTCTGAGTCGCAATTAATGTAATTTTAGTTTCACCATGATTTACTTTCCTTAAATCTGTGTGGATTCAATGATTGGTTCAGCAAGACGAGACTGGAATATAGAAACATTCTGGTTTTGAGATGATGGAAAGTTTTGCTGTCTTGATGACGTTCAGTCCAAACTTCTCACCAGCAGGGGGCGGTAATGTTCCGTTAAGTTGTTTGCTAGTCACAGTTTAGGTTTAAACCAGGTGAAGTGCTTTGAACAAAAAGGTTGAAGCAGAAGTTTGAACTGGGTGGCTGGTTCTGGTTCTGGCTCGGTCGGGTCCAGGATTCTAGACAGACCTCCTCTTGGTAGCTCCAGCTTCCTGGAGTCGACATGAGGACTGATCAACCAATCAGAAGCAAATCTAGGTGTGACTTGAGTTTATTAAAGTGACTTTTAATGTTTTAATGTGCAGCTTGTTTTGCTGGAGCAAAAGGTCCTAATCAAAGTTCACATGGTTCCAGGCAGCAGATGATGGCGACTCCTGGAGGTGCTGGAGCGAAACAAGGACAGTAAAAATCTGAATATCAAAGTGAGTAGAAAACCTGACGACAATCTGGAGATTTATGGAGGAAATGACTCGTTTTAATTTATAAACACCTGCTGAAGTTGACCTTTAACTGACCTTCATTCTTGCCTTTCAGGTACGGACTCAACAACCTGCTGGGACAGACGGGAAGTCCGTCCCAGTGGCCGCCGCTGTTTCCTGCTGGGAGGCTCCAACCGACCAGCTGCCGCAGCAGAATAAAATGTGAAATAGTTTTGAGCCTCAGAGATCAAACCTCTTCCTCCTGACTCTTTCTTCCTACGCTGAAGCTTTTATCCTGGAACGAAGGGAACCTCTTTAACCACTAGATCAACCTGACCAGCGCCGGGGACGCCACCTTCAGGGACGCCGCCTTCAGGGACGCCGCCTTCAGGGACGCCGGGCAGCCGCAGGTCATCTCTTAATCTCAGGTGTAGGAGAGGCGGGTCCTGAGCGGCCGCCTGCTGATGCCTTCTTCCTCTCTGTGAATGTAAAGTTAACCTTTGAGACGACAAGCGCAGCTCCGCAGTTGCACATGTAGGGACTCTGATTCCTGCCTCTGTTTCTACCCATAACTCTAAAAGCGTCTCTAAACTTCAGTATGCACCGTTCAGCGCTGCCTTGATTTTACGAATGTCCTGACAGGAAGCGGTTGCTTCCGTGATTCTCTGTTATGCACTATGAGTTCAGTCAGTCCAGATTCCCCAGAACTGAGTGGCCTTCCTCAGAACCTCTGAAATGATTGCATATCCGTCCTGTACTACTGAGGTCCCGCCGGTACGCTGCACACGCATCCATCAGACATGCAGCACAAAACGAAGCTTCTTGTGTTCAGAGTTTCAGGTGTCCTCCTCCTCCTCCTCCTGCTGTTAGTGGTCAGGTTCTCCTCAGGGTGTACAGATTCAGATTACGGGTATTTTTGTGAATCATTCGAGGAAGGAGCAGCACGTCGAAACTTCTATCCCCAACCGGCCGACTTTCTTCTTGTTTTTTTAATAAATGTGTTTTAGTTTCTTCTAATTCTTATTCTGCTTTCCTCTTCATCTGGTTTTAAGTCATTTTGAATAAAAATAAATAATAATTCTAGTTTTATGGCTTTTGTTGTGACTCGTGGCGGTTTAGTCTTTAGTGCAGTTTAGTAATGATCTGAATCTACCTCATCTAGCTGCTGGCTGGCGTACATTTCTTCTCCTCCCAGACTCCCCCATCAGTGTACCATCTCTTCTAAGTCCCAATGCATGATGGGAAATCTGGTTCCAGTCTGTTCGCAGTCCATTTGAACCCACGTCGTTTCATTAATGCGACGTCTGGAAACACTGGAGAGAATTTTCCTCAACATTTTATCAAAGTAGTGAAATGTAAAAATAGCAGGTAGCATTCAAACAGGTTTTGTGTGTGTGTGTGTGTGTGTACTTGTGTTTGTGTGTACTTGTGTTTGTGTGTGTGTGTGTGTGTGTACTTGCGTGTGTGTGTGTACTTGCGTGTGTGTGTGTGTGTACTTGCGTGTGTGTGTGTGTGTACTTGCGTGTGTGTGTGTACTTGCGTGTGTGTTCGTGTGTGTGTGTGTGTACTTGCGTGTGTGTGTACTTTTGTGTGTGTGTGTGTGTACTTGCGTGTGTGTGTACTTGCGTGTGTGTTCGTGTGTGTGTGTGTGTACTTGCGTGTGTTTGTGTGTGTGTGTGTGTGTGTGTACTTGCGTGTGTGTGTGTTGGGGTGTGTGTGTTTGTGTGTGTACTTGCGTGTGTGTATGTTTGTGTGTGTACTTGCGTGTGTGTGTGTGTGTGTGTGTGTGTACTTGCGTGTGTGTGTGTGTGTGTGTGTGTGTGTGTGTGTGTGTGTGTGTGTGTGTGTGTGTGTGTGTGTGTGTGTGTGTGTGTGTGTGTGTGTGTACTGGCCGCCAGTTGACTGGAACCGATTCTCCCTCTTCTGTCATCTCTGCACTAGTGACAAACCCATTTAGACGTGATTAAATGTGAATCATATTTATTTGCTCTTTTAAGAATTTTGTACATTTTTGGACTTGTTTTAATGTAACTTTTTTCCTGTGACATTTTTAATCCGTCGTCCTTTGGCGGCTTTGGGAGGAGGAGATAAAGTCTTGTACCTTTTTGTTTTTAAAGTGGAGTTTACATGTTCTTATCTGACTGACACGGATTATTTGGGGAATGGAATGGATTATTTTCTATACTGTCTTAGAAATAAATAACGTTTCTCAACTCAGAGTTTGTTTTATCTGTTTTTGCAGTTTTCTGTAGTGTTGACCACAATGTTGCAGAAACTTTCTCCTTTGGAGCTTCTCAACGTGAGGATGTGGTTTGTAAAGACTCAAAATTTAACACCAGTAATTTTGTCATAAGAGGAAAGAAATGTCATTTTTTTCAACATTTTATTCATTCATTTAATTTCAGTTTCAAACTGAATATGTAATTGGCAAGCTAAAGCTACAAATGTAAAATATTTAGTTTGAAGCTAAGTATTTAGTTTACAAGTTAATTCAGTTTTAGGCCAAAGATTTAGCTTGCTAACTAAATACTTAGCTCTAGATTTAGTTAGCAAGCTAATATTTAGTTTGAAGTTTAATTAGGAAGGTGAAGAGTTTGTAAGCAAGCTAAGTATGTTCACAGCTAAATATTTTCTATTTAGCTTCAAACTGAGCTTTATCCAGCTGATCGCTCTAAATGCTCCGTGCGTCCTCAGCCTGTCGGGCAGGTGGACATCCATGCCCAGGTCGATCTGCAGGTGACCCACAAAAGTCCTAGAACACATTGAAATGTTCAGTGTTTACACGGCAACAGAAAAAGAAATAGAAACAACCTTTATTGTCCTGAAAAACGGATTTCTGCTGACACGACAGAAAAAGTTGTGTCAGCAGAAACGGATGAAAAGGTTCACACAAAAACCCAAAAGTTAAGAGAAAGGGTTTTTATGTGATCAAAAAACAAGATTAATAATAACAATATATGCACAAGACTGTAACAGAAAACAGAAGTGAAAACCTTTTTGTAGCCCACAATTCTAAATATCCGTCATAACCAAAAATATATAAAACTTAACACATTTTGTTTATTAGAATTCTAAAATGTTTCTAAAATAACTTTGTTCTTTCAATAAAGTCATACTTGACGATAATATTTCTCAAAAGGATTTAGACACTCCTAAGCTTAAAGTTAATCAAGCAAATGTAACCACTTGTAACACTGCCCTGATAAGAAATGCAGATTTTGTATTTTCTGAAAAGTTGGAAACTGATATTTTTGATTTTACATAATTTTCCAGTAACATCACAAAGAAAATGTCTCATCCTCCTTTTGCAAAACATTGGTGTTTATTCTAAAACCTAAGGACAGAAATAAACTGTTGGTTCTTTAAAAAAAATATTTCCAATTTATTAATTATAAATATTCTTTTTTCAGAAGATCGGGTCACAGCGGCTCTTAGTGGGTAAAAATGTCCAGTTTAAATCGGTTTAAACTGGACAAAAATCAAAATTGATACATTCAGGTGCTAAAAAAAGTTTCTATCCTCTTTATGTCAAACATTTTTTCAGTTTTATTTATTTTAAAACCCACCAAAACAAAAGTAATTTTCAAAAATGATTTCCTTTTTCTCGTCTTTCCGTTGTCTTTTTATACATCAGATGAACCAATTAAATAGCGAGGAACGTCCTAATTCAGCCAATCACAGCACAGTAGGCGGGGCTTTGTGCCTGCAAGTCAGCGCTCAGGGCGAAGGTTCTGCCCGCTGTGGGTTTAGCAGCGAGTTTATTTGTGACAGCTCGTCAGAAAGCGGTGAAAACCGCTTCGTCCGTGTCCGTGGGTCAGTCCTCCTTACTGCCGAAGTGACCCACAGCTGGAGCGAAACGACCTGCGGAGCTTCGTTCCTCCACCTGCTGCCCGAAAGGAGCAACCAGGTAATGTCACATTTATCCCCTTTGTGTCTGTAAACAGCGACGTTTTCCTGCGCCTTTAAGAGCTTTACAGCTTCTGAACGTGTTAATTATCGGCTGATTCTGTGTTTAAGCTGCTTGTTTCCGACTTGTGAGGAAAAAACGCTGTTATGCAAAGCGACTATTTTCAGATCTGCAACACGAGCAGCTGTTCTGTTTGCTTCTGCTGCTGTTGCTGTTATGCAGACATTTTGATCAATTTTATCAATAAAACCCACTGATGTGACCCGACCTTCAGAAAAAAGAATTATTATTATTCATAATAGTGATAATTATAATAATAATTATTAATGATAATAATAATAATAACCGGTTTAGCACCACAATACATCAAAGATCTGCTGTTGTTGTATCAACCTTCTAGACTCTCAGGTTCTGGTTCTGGGAACCAGAACCAAGAGAGGAGAAGCAGCTTTCAGCTTCTATGCACCAAAAATCTGGAACAAACTTCCAGAAAACTGTTAATCAGCTGAAACCCTGACTTCCTTTAAATGTGGACTAAACTCAGCAGGTTAAGCTGCTTTAGAAACGTAATCAGTTCTAATTACTGATGACTGTTTGATTGTTGATTCTATGACTTTGTGTTCTTATGATGTAAAGCAGTTTGAAATGCCTTGCTGCTGAAATGTGCTATACAAATACAATTTGATTGATTTGAATTAACTCATTTTAATTATTCATGACTTTTGTGGCTCCACACAACAAAATGATCAGAATATTAGCAAACAGCAGTGACTGTTCAGAGAGCTGTATCCATGCACAGGAAAGGAAAGTTCAGTGAAAGGAAAAGGTTGAAAATAGTACTGTGGATAGATAAATGTAACATTTTAATGAAATCCTGGAATAGAACTGTTTTTGTCATTGTAACAGTAAACATAACAAAACGTTTCATTGGTGCAACATATTTATCTTGTTTTCTCCAGATAAAAGCAATGTCTCGTTTAGAAAGTCTTATTACTCACTACTTATTTTTCTCTTAACCATGGATTAAAAAAGTTAACTGAAACTAAAATAGACATTAAATAGACAAATTAACAACAGGAGGCTGATGAGTGAAAATGTTTGGAGCTTCTGGTGGGTTAAAGCTAAATATGTGTTTGACTCTGAAATGCTTCAATAAATACAAAAATTTTTGTTATACTATTTGAATTTTTCTCTCCAGTTGTCAGGGGATGGCAGGCCGGCTGCAGCGCCCCCTGGTGGCGGTGGCCTGCCTGTTTCTGTGCTGCCTGGTTGGGGTGCGGTGCGGCCCGGACCCCAGGCTGCGGAAGGAGCTGATGGAGCTGGAGGAGTCCATGCAGACGGGCGGCGGGATGGTGCTGACGGAGGCCGAGCAGCGGCTGGACGCTCTGCTGGCCAAACTGAAGCAGGACGAGATGTCCAGGAAAGACTTTCCTCCCTCCATGCACTTCTTCACGGCCCGGCGCCTCATCCAGGCGAGTCCCCTCTTCAGGCTGCTGCAGAAGATGCCAAAAGGTAAAGAGCAGAACGAGTTCAGCATGACTTGCTGAGTTTTTACAGTGTTTGTACAAATCTGGAAAATAATTCCAGATCTTAGATTTTGACAAAAGGTTGCTGTGCACTGGCAGATCTGCAACAGATTAAATATCGATCTGCAGCAGATTAAATATCGATCTGCAGCAGATTAAATATCGATCTGCAGCAGATGGATATTTGCTCATTTGATTATTGTTCCTAATGTTACACGGTGGATCAGGATTGCTTGTGAACTGGTTGCAGTTGAGCCTAAAAAGTTTCTTTTATTAGCAAAATTTCACAACAAACATCGTCTCGATACACTTTACAAAAAACACTCATTTCAGTTTAACCACATCCATTCCAATTGACTGGATGAGAATCATCAATCAGTGCGTTAAGTTCACTTCTCCTGTGATGTCACACTGATAACTCTGTAACTGACAGCCATCTTGGTAGGCAGTTGCTGTGGAGTTGCTATGAGAACAATGAACCAACAGCACAACAGATGTCATCTCAAGACAGTTTACAAAAAAGTCATTTTAATACAATCATTTATTCTAATTGATCCCAGATAAAAAAAAAAATTAGTTCAGTTTTTTATTCAAATTCATTTAAAAAGTTTGTGTCAGGAAACCCAGCAGAGCATCGAGTCGTTGACTTGTAGCATCCAGAAATCCCTCATGCCAAGCATGCATGAGGTGACAGTGGAGAGGAAAAACTCCCCTTTAACAGGAAAAACCCTCCAGCAGAAGCAGAACCAGGACCAGAACCAGGCTCAGCACCAGGTTGAGCCAGGTTTAGGAGAATAATTATGCTGTTTGTGGAGTTTTAGTCAGGAAATTGTGATTGTTCACTTTGACCTGGAAAGGATGTTTATGTGCTTCAGTAAAAATTATTGGATACAAAAAGTCAGAAGGGAGTTTAAGTTTGGATCCTCCAGCAGCATGAGAGGAACAGTTCTACCAATAGTTCGATTAATATTGTTTCTTCCTTTCAGCTGAAACTGACGACAAAACAGAAAGAAACTTTTTATGTGTTTTATTTAATTCATTCACGGTTTAAAATTAACATAAACAAAAATTTTGCCTGAGAGATAATCATTTGAAGAAAACAATCTTGTATGATCCACCCCTTCTCTCAAAAGTCAGTTCAACAACCAATATATGTGTGCATATAAAAATAACATGAAAAATCTGTTTAATTAATGGTTAATCCATCCTGGCAGGCGGCGTCCTTCACGTCCATGACTTCGCCATGGTGGACGTGGAGTGGCTGGTGAAGAACGCCACGTATCGCCCGCACTGCTACATGTGCTTCACCGACAGCGCGTCCGTCCGCTTCGTCTTCGCGTCACAGGGGCCCAAACCTCTGGAGCGCTGCTCCGCCTGGGTCCTGCTGGAGAGCCTCCGCTCCGAGGCGGGCAACGCAACCGACCTGGACAACAGGTGGCTCACTTCCAACACATTTCATGCAAAACCTATAAATTATTTCTAGTTTTTTAGCTTCAGACATTTTTCCATAGAAATGGCCTAAAATCTTCAGCTGTAACACAAAAGTTTGGAGGTCAGATAACAGAAATAAACAAGTAGTGGCAAAAGTATCTTTCTGAAATCCTTCATTTGCTGCTGCATATTCTGTTGTAGTTCTGTACTGATATTGAAAACAGGTTTTCTAAACAAGGTTTGTAGAAACAAAAGGGACCCGCAGCACCACAGGTCCTCCACCATGCTTTAACAGAGTGTGAGCAACAAGCGTTGCAGAAGTCTCAATGTAAGAAGAATCTGCTTGACGCTCACAATCTGAACTGCATGTTTAATAGAAACAACTTGCAGTACTGACTCCCACCACCAGGCGTCTCTCTTTCACGTCCTGGTGGCGCATGGTGGAGGCTGCAGCTGTTTTATTAATGCTCTGATGACTGAACAGTCAACTACTGATGAAGTTTAGCAAACATTTTCTGACTTGAACAGCATGTTTGCCTGTCTTTCCCGTTATTAGGAGGTTGTAAGAGAATTTGGATGCAAATGTGTTTGAGCAGGAAGTCAGGTCACTAATTAAAGTTTCTACAGCTATAAAATGCTGCACTTATGTTTACTTTTCAGAAATCTTTGGGAGTTGTCAGTTTAGCGCCACCTAGTGGGGTAGAAATAGTTTTTTTTAACTTTTCAGTTGGATAAATGAAAAGTTAAACTTCACAGTTAAGTTCATGCTGCTCCAATTATTGTAAGGACTTTTACACATTTAGTTAGTTTTATCATTTTTATTTTTATATCCGATTGTTGATCATTTCTTAGAAACAGATAATGTGTAATATTTTTAGTTTAGTTTTATTTTCACTGGCTTTAGGATTCCTGCTGAATTTGGCAATAAAATTTTACTAATTTAAAAACCATTTAACATTTATTTTCATATTTTCAGGCTTATCTGTTTGGAACATTTCACAATTTCTTTACTTCATAAAAACATTGTACGATCATCAATTATGAAACAAGCTGAAGAACTAAGAGCCAATCAGTTTCCTGTACAAACTGTATTGATTATTAATAGTCATTTAAGACATTTAAACAGGACAGCTGTCCAGTCCAAGTAAAATTTTCTGAAATTGATGTTTTTGTCATAAAACTATATTCTGGAGATTCTGGATTAGTTAATATTCATTAATATTCTAGTTATTCCAGCTGCAAATCGGATCGTAGACCAGTTGGACCTTTGCTCTGGTGACTCTTCATCGTTCTCCTCCTCAGCATCAGAGGTAACCTGACGCTGTTTATGGACCGGGATCCAGAGAAAGAGTTCCCCAGCCAGGATGTGGTCTGGAACCGCTTTGAGGCGGCCTTTGGGGCCTTGTGGGGGCTGGTGACCTTTGCCCCCGTCTTCAGGGATTACTACATCGAGGCTCTGAACCAATTCTACGCAGACAATGTCATGTACCTGGAGCTGCGTGCGCTCCTGCCTCAGGTTCGAACCGACCGGCCATGATGGCGACTCACTCCGTCAGGAGTTAGCCAGGAGTTAGCCAGGTGTTAGCCAGGAGTTAGCCAGGTGTTAGCCAGGAGTTAGCCAGGAGTTAGCCAGGTATTAGCCAGGAGTTAGCCAGGAGTTAGCCAGGTGTTAGCCAGGAGTTAGCCAGGAGTTAGCCAGGTGTTAGCCAGGAGTTAGCCAGGTATTAGCCAGGAGTTAGCCAGGAGTTAGCCAGGTGTTAGCCAGGAGTTAGCCAGGAGTTAGCCAGGTGTTAGCCAGGTGTTAGACAGGTATTAGCCAGGAGTTAGCCAGGTGTTAGCCAGGAGTTAGCCAGGAGTTAGCCAGGTGTTAGCCAGGTGTTAGCCAGGAGTTAGCCAGGAGTTAGCCAGGTGTTAGCCAGGTGTTAGACAGGTATTAGCCAGGAGTTAGCCAGGTGTTAGCCAGGAGTTAGCCAGGAGTTAGCCAGGTGTTAGCCAGGAGTTAGCCAGGAGTTAGCCAGGTGTTAGCCAGGTGTTAGACAGGTATTAGCCAGGAGTTAGCCAGGAGTTAGCCAGGTGTTAGCCAGGAGTTAGCCAGGTGTTAGCCAGGTGTTAGACAGGTATTAGCCAGGAGTTAGCCAGGAGTTAGCCAGGTGTTAGACAGGTATTAGCCAGGAGTTAGCCAGGTGTTAGCCAGGTGTTAGCCAGGTGTTAGCCAGGAGTTAGCCAGGAGTTAGCCAGGAGTTAGCCAGGTGTTAGCCAGGTGTTAGCCAGGAGTTAGCCAGGTGTTAGCCAGGAGTTAGCCAGGAGTTAGCCAGGAGTTAGCCAGGTGTTAGCCAGGAGTTAGCCAGGAGTTAGCCAGGTGTTAGCCAGGTGTTAGCCAGGAGTTAGCCAGGTGTTAGCCAGGAGTTAGCCAGGAGTTAGCCAGGTGTTAGCCAGGTGTTAACCAGGTGTTTCACCTGCAGCTGTACGAGCTGGACGGCAGCAGCCACGACCGGGCCTGGACCCTGCAGGCCTACCAGGACCTCACCAAGCAGTTCGTCTCCACTCACCCAGACTTCTACGGAGCCAGAATCATCTTCACCAACCACAGGTGAGTCTGAACCAATCAGATTCGACCCATCAGGTCCAGAACCAGGCACTGGAACTTTTCTCTGCAAGTCCTCAAAGTTGTCCAGCACAGCAGCCTGTAGGTAGCGAATGTCGGACGATAAATTGTTCCAGACAGAAGTTACTGCAATAAACAATAATATTGTTTTTCTGTAATATAAGGATAATTATAAATCAATAATCTTCAAATTCTAATGAACATTTGACACTGGAACTGCAAGACATTTTAAAAATCCCAAATAAATGAACAAAACAACAAGTAAAAATAGAAAGTAGAGACCGAAGCAGCCTGGAGACTTTTATCATTTAGTTTTTGGTAGAATTATTTATTAACTCATGATACATTTTTTCACCTATGGCTAAATTCAATTGGTATGATTTTAGCATTTAAGCTAAATAGAGTAATAATTATTGAATATGTTATTTTCCATATTCTGTAGCCTTGTCTGAGGGTCAGAGGTCAGAGTGTTTGCTGCTTCGCTGATCGTGTTTCGCTCTTTAGGCACGCTAAACTGTCGGTGGTAGCTGCAGCTGTGAAGGAGGCGATGCACCTGAAGAAGGACTTTCCCGACTTCCTGGCCGGTTTTGACCTGGTGAGGTCCAACAGGAACTGCTGAGTATGAAGCTCCTGGTTCTGGTTCTGTAACGTCTGCATGTCCAGGTGGGCCGGGAGGACCAAGGCCGGACGCTGTGGTACTTCAGGGATGCCTTGACGCTGCCTGCAGAGAAAGGCGTCGCGCTGCCGTACTTCTTCCACGCCGGAGAGACGGGTGAGTCTCGACCGGAAAACTGGGCCATTTAACCCAGCTTATAAATGTTGCTTTATTTTTATAAGTTCAGTTCCTTAGACGAGCAAATTGATGTCACAACTACTGTGGTGCAAAAAGTATTTCCACACTCTTCTTCTTTGTTTTCTAAATTACGGGCATAAAGTTTGTTACAAGTCAAAAATGAACAGCAATAGTTTTGGTTATTCAGTTTTCACAGAGCAAAACAAATGGGGGTTAAATTCTCTCATATTTTCACCATGTTGTTCATTCACTTTTAAATGTTAATTTCAACATAAATATTGAGTTTGTAGCTAAATATTTAAGCTACATATTTAGCTGCAATTTCAGTTAGCAGAGGAAGCTGAGCCTTTTGCTAAATGTTTAATTTAAAGCTAAATGATTTTCTCGTCAACTACATATTTAGCTCACAGCTGTTTTAGTTTGTAGAGCAAAATATTTAATAGCAAAAATATTTAGTCCTGAAATGAAGGTTTAGTTTTATAACTAAATAATCAGCTTGCTCTTAATAATGAGTTATTTCATGATTTATCGAGCTGATTATGTGTTCAGTTGGTTTGGAGCTTTTTTCTTTTAGGACTGAAAACTGCTTTTATTTTTCTCTCTTATCCAATATTAATAGTTATTAATGATGTGAGACGTGGCTGAAATGAGAAGAAGTTCCTTTCAGAAGCTGGTTGGTTTATGACTTCATTTCTGCTGAATAAACAGTAATTAATCTGACCTGCAGATGTTAATATAAACCTGAGCTGTTTAAAACAGAGTGGAAAATAAAACCTGATGCTTTTAAAACTAAGTTTAATTTAAAAAGAAATGCAGCAATTAAAATACTTGCAATAATATTTTATGTAATTGAGTTTGGATTCTTCTTAAATAATTCAGTAAGTTCAGAGTGAATGTTTCTTCAGGTCCAGATTACGGTAATTATTTATTATTATTTAGAGCAGAAGGAACTGAAATAGTTTTGTGCTGTGAGCAGACGTTGAGGGAACTGAAGTGGACCAGAACCTGCTGGACGCTCTGCTGCTCAACACGTCGCGTATCGGCCACGGGTTTGCACTGCAGCGCCACCCAGTGGCCAAAGATCTGTCCAGGAAGAGGGGCGTAGCTGTGGAGGTGTGCCCCATCTCCAACCAGGTAACATCTCCCACAATGCATCTCTTTACGTCACATTACCATTTCAGATTAATTTAGTACTGAAATCCAGTTTTAGAACAGAATTACTACATTTGATGCTGAAGGATTTGATAAAATAAAAAATTCAGTCTGTCAGAAAATTAAAGCATCAGGCCCTTTAAACGTCATATAAACAAATAAATTATACCTTAAATCTCTGCATGTAATGAATTTATATAAAGTTCTCTTTAAACTGAGTTATTTAAATTAATTACATTTGTTTCTGAGATTACAGAAAAAATATTAGAAGCTTATTGATGTATAATCTTTTCTTTCAGGCGGATTTAGTATCTTTGTCATCAGATTTCAGGTCAGGGTAGGATGGAGGGTTTAGGATGGAGTGTTAGGGTCAGGGTACGGGTCAGGACTAGGGTCAGTGTTAGGGTCAGGACTAGGGTAAGGGTACGGGTCAGGGTTAGGGTCAGTGTTAGGGTCAGGGTACGGGTCAGGGTTAGGGTCAGGGTACGGGTCAGGACTAGGGTCAGTGTTAGGGTCAGGACTAGGGTAAGGGTACGGGTCAGGGTTAGGGTCAGTGTTAGGGTCAGGGTACGGGTCAGGATTAGGGTCAGGGTACGGGTCAGGATTAGGGTCAGTGTTAGGGTAAGGGTTAGGGTCAGTGTTAGGGTAAGGGTATGGGTCAGGGTTAGTGTTAGGGTCAGGGTACGGGTCAGGATTAGGGTCAGGGTTAGTGTTAGGGTCAGGGTACGGGTCAGGGTTAGGGTCAGGGTACGGGTCAGGATTAGGGTCAGGGTACGGGTCAGGACTAGGGTCAGTGTTAGGGTCAGGACTAGGGTAAGGGTACGGGTCAGGATTAGGGTCAGGGTACGGGTCAGTGTTAGGGTCAGGGTACGGGTCAGGATTAGGGTCAGGGTACGGGTCAGGACTAGGGTCAGTGTTAGGGTCAGGACTAGGGTCAGGGTACGGGTCAGTGTTAGGGTCAGGGTACGGGTCAGGGTTAGGGTCAGGGTTAGGGTAAGGGTTAAGGTCAGGGTTAGGGAAAGGGTTAGGCTGTGAACAGAAACATTAATTACTTTGGGAAATTGATACATTTTCATACCTAATTCCACAAAAACCATCGGGAATTTTGACGTTGGATTATTTAAGTCAGAACTACGATAATAAAACTTATTCTTGTAATTATGAGAATAAAAATCATAATACTAATTCTTGTAATTATGACTTTTAAACTTGAAATCATGAGTTTTATTGGCATAGGCATGAATTTTGTTTTCATAATTATGAGTTTAATTCTAGTAAATTGTAACTATGATTAGTTAAAATGTGTAACTATGACTTATTGCTGTAATTGTTGTGATTATGACTTTAACTCTAAATTCTGACTTCCTGATTGGCTTTTATTTTTGCTCTCATGGCAGAAATGGGCTTCCAGACATGTCTCGTTATTTCATGCCTTTCATGTCCAGTTAATTGAATTACTGTCATTGACCGCTGTGACCTCTGACCCCTCCAGGTGCTGAAGCTGGTTAAGGATCTGCGGAATCACCCCGCCGCCGCTCTGATGATGGAGAATCACCCGCTGGTCATCAGCTCCGACGACCCGGCCATGTTCGGCTCCTGCGCGCTCTCCTTCGACTTCTACGAGGCGTTTGTGGGTTTCGGCGGTTTGAAGTCCCACATCGGCTCCCTGAAGCAGCTGGCCGTGAACTCCATCAGGTGGCGCTCCGCCCGGTCGGTTCCCACTTGGCCTGCCGGTTCCGGTCTGAACTTTCCCGTCTCTGTTTCAGGTTCAGCTCTTTGACTGCGAAGCAGCAGGAAGAGGCGCTGGTTCTGTGGCAGAGAAGATGGAGCGAGTTCGTGGCTGAAAACTGAAGAGCGAGAACGTTTTTCTGTCACATTGAACTTTTTCCAGTTGTGCCACTGAAACCGATGATCCTCGACACATTCATCCTTTTTATCGTTACAGAAATAAACCCAAATAGCTGCTGCTTCGTTTAAATCAGGGGAAACATTGATTATTTTCAATAGAAAATGTGAAACTATTGATTATCTGATTCCTGGATTGGCACAAGTGCTGCAGCTAATGATTATTTAGGGGACAAACAATTATTCTGATCAATTAGGTCTGAGAATCTCTTGTCAAAAACAAATTTTCCAGTTAATAGAAATAAATGCTAATGTTATTTTGAAACCATTTTCAACTATCAGAGTAATAATGGCATGTTAATGCAAGTGCAGCCTCTCAAATGTAAGAAAAACTAACATTTCTTAACATTTAACACAGAAACTTTTAAATATCAAAATAAACAAATGAAAAAGAAATAAAATGGATTATGGGTCAAAATTGGATTTCAAAAACTAATCATTTTGTGTCATGTCTGTGTGTTTCGCCTTTAAAAATAGTTTTTAAACCTCAGAAATTTCTTATAGTGGTAAAGTTTAAAAACTAAATACAAATTGTAATGAAATTAGCAGTTTCAGGAAACACTTTTGTTAAAAGAAAAAAGCAAAGCATAGATTTTGTACGGGGTGAATCTTTAATGATTGATTTCTCATGCTGTGAGTGTTGTAGGGTATAATGCGCATTTAATGTTATTAATATGAAATCCAAAATTTTGAGAGTTTATTTACAGATTGTGCCTCGATTAGTTTTGTCTGTTTACTGATCGTGTCTCGATTGGTCTGGTCTGACTCGGGGTAGTGGAACGCGTTACTTCTGTTCCTCCATTACAACACTGGAAGTGAAAGAAGTAACGTCGTGTCCGTGTCTGTTTCCCGTGTCTGTCTTCACCATTCCCTTATACAGGGTCAACATGAGCTGATTGGTTGCAGCCGCTGCTGATTTCTCCTTTAACCTCTTCAGTATTCGGGTTTTTCCGCTTCGGTCATGAATGATTATTGTTGGAGTATCAGACGTTATTCTGGCTTTTCCAAAGATTCATGAATAATCAGAGGAACTCTGGAAAGCTGAATCACTAGAACATTTTTTCTCCATCTGATGTTTGAAGAACAAATTAAAAACTATAAATATCTTTGCTGTTTTTCTGTTGCTCATTTTGTCAATAGTTTAACTATTTGAATGCAAAGCAGTAAAGTTGATTTAAACATTTTGTTCTGGTGTGAAAATAAACTGGGAATGGTTTATTTCAGTTTAATGTTTGATGGCGCCGCGGCGCTGTGACGTCGTCGTGCGTCATCTGGTGCAGGTGTTGAACTGGGTGAAGAAGCTGTCGTCGATTCGCCCCCTCTTCAGGTCTGGACTCCTGGAAACGAGACGAGAGCAAAGCGTCAGTCTGCGGTGAGGAGGCGCTGCTCACGGCGCTGCTCACGGCTCTGCGGACGCCACTGACTCCTGCAGCCGGATGTGGGCCAGCTGGGCGTTGACGCTGTCCATGTGTTTCCTCAGCTGCTTGTTCTGCTTCTCCTGCAGCCGCTCCAGCATCATGGCGCTGCGGGCCGAGTCCAGCAGGAGCCGGTCCTGGTCCTCCTCCCTCTGCTTCCTCTCCATCTCCAGCCTCTGCAGCAGACGCACCCACACCATGTCAAAGGGGTAGAATCGTGTTTTCCAGGCACACAGAGCCACAATCAAACTGTTACCTTCAGCTCTTATAAAAATGTGACTTTTTTATTTAACACAGAGACCAGAGCCCTTGAAATTGGTCCTCTGTCTCTTTAAGAAACTCCTGCTCCTTCTGAAGCTCCGCCTCCAGGAAGTCATCACAACATGGCTCCTGAATTAACCCTTTAATGTTTTTACCAGCGTTGCTCTGAGCAGCAGCTCCTATAAGGAGATCAGCAGCTGTTTGCTAATTGCTGCTGGCTAGTCTGAAGGAGCTGGGTGGGGGAGGAGCTGCACCTCGACGGCGGGACGAGGTCCACTGAGGCCTTTTGAACAGCTAGTTGGTTGCCATGTAGAGTAAAGAATCAAAGCAACACTCGAGGTTTGGGGGAAAAACATACAAATTTGACGTGAAGCTAAAAAAAAATGTAGATTTTACATAACATTGCCTCTATGCCTGTCACAATAACTAGTTTTTCAGTACGATAAATTATTCCAGAAGTTATTGCGATAAATGATAATGTTGTTTTGGGACCATTTTGCAGAAATCTAATGGAAATGACACAATAATGCAACAATAAACTTTAAATTCTAATGAACATTTAACACTGGAACTAGAAAACATTTCAAACATCCAAGATGTGAATTATGAAGTTTCTGTAAACAATATTATTCTTCAAAAAACGGCTCGTTAAGACCAAAGCAAGGTTTTAATTCATCGTTATCGGATCCAAACCTTAGGAAGTGGAAACGTGGGCCAGTGCGACCGTACTCTGGGTCAGAGACGCGTCTGGAAAGGATCCGGATCGGGTTCCTACCTTCCTCTCCAGAACCTGCTGCAGCTGGAACTGGGTGACCTGCTGCTGCGTCTCTGCAGGATCCTTCCTGTTGGCGCCGGGATAGAGGGCGGGGATGCTCAGGGCGCTCAGCGCGATGTCCTCACGCTGCTCCCGTTCCCGGTTCGTTTTCTCCACAAGCTTGTTGACAAAAACAGAAAATAAAGAAGTGACTGAACCTTTCAAACAAAACTTTACACATTTAAGATGGAAAAATCCTCAAGTAGCAGTTTTAGCTCCACCTGGTTCAAATTCTGTAAAAATCTCACATTATGCACCTTTTCCCATCCAATTACTAATAAAATATAATCATCAGATCAGTTCTGTATCAATTTTCAGTTCAGCAGAAAGGACTGAACTTTTCACATGTTGATGTTTTTTCTGCAGATGAATCCTTTGCTACAAACGACCAAACTTTCACTAAAGGACGCTGTTATTACATTTAAGGCAATAAAATATGTATTTCCTAGTTTACAAAGGATTGTAATTATTTGTTTGTTAGCATTTTCTTAATGTATTTGAATTTATAAACAAGCTCAAGTGGCTGAATGATTGAATCATGATTATTTCACTAATCAGTTTATCTTAATGCACATTTTGGACATTTTTAAATTAGCCAATAAAGTCTTTCACACAGAATAAGGAAAACATTAAAGGATGAAAAGTTGACTAATTTTAGATTTTTTAAAGCTGAAACTGCAGGAAGAACAGATTTATAGAAAAATAAGTTTTTAATCTTCCATGCAAGATGTTTATAGTTTAGTACAGGTTTGGCTCATTCCTGCTCTGACTGTTTTTTATTTCAGAAAACGGACGATTTTAGAGTCTGTATTGCTCCAGTTAACGATTAATCGATTACTAAATGAGTTGATCATCATGTCAATATTCGATTCATCACAGTTAATCGTTTCCACCTTTGCTACGTTGTAGTTTGCGTCGTCGATGAGGTCGGCTTTTCTCTTCGCCATCTCCAGGTTCTGGAGCTCCATCGCTCTGCGGCCTACTTCCTGTCTGTACTGGTCGTCGAGCATCTCTAACGGACGAACAGAACCGTCAACTCCGCCGCATTGATGCACAATTTAAAGCTACAGGATGTAAACTTTTACAAATAATATTTTACTACATATTTGTTGAATTTGTCACTATCAGTATAAGACAGATAGTGAGGAGGCGGGTCTTAGCGCTGTCAATCAAATTCATGTCTCAGAATAGTACAACGCTGCTCCTCAATAGTGAAACATTGTTGCTGAAAGTTGCAGAGCTGCAGCCAAACGTATTTTGATGCCGTTGCAGAATATTGTGACACTATTATTATTATTATGATGATGCTGTTGCCAAACGCATTGTTGATCATTTATGTTCCAACGCTATTGCCGATAATTGTGACTTGCAGAGTAGTGTGCCGCTGTTCCCACTGTGGCTCCTCTGTTTTGCAGCGCAGCAGAGCTTAGCTAATGCTAGGCTAGTAACGCATCCATCAATGACACCAGATACACAGTTTTTCTGAAACAGTGAATTGTTTCTCCATCATTAGTACATTTAGCAGCGCGTATATGTTTGATTGACAGCACTAAGCCCCTCCTTCTGGCTCTGATGGCCGTGGCTCAGGAGAGATGTTTCTTTCCACAGATTATCTGTCTCTATTAAACAGTCCAGGCATAACCAACGTTTGAACAAATCTGTAAAAGCATGTTTGGTTTCTGAAAGCTGCGTCCGGCAGCTTAAAGCCCGCTCACCGTCGAGCTTCTGCTTCAGCCGTTTCTGCTGCAGCTCGTTCTGCTGCTGCAGCAGCCAGTCCCTCAGCTGCTCCTGCTGCCTCTGCTGCCGGCTGCCGGACTGCGGGTCCTCGCCCAGCAGGCCCGGCAGAACCATCTGGGACTCGGTTTTCTTCAGGGCGTCCGGGTCGTTGAGGTCGAACTCGCGGCGGCTCTGAGGATTCTGGTTCTGGTGCCAGAAGGCGGCTCGGGCCTGGTGCGCCGAGCGGTCCGCCTTCTCGTGCCGCCTCTGGAGGAGGCCCGCTGCTCGGTTGTACTGCTGCACTTCAGCATCTGTTTAGAAACAAACGTCACGTAAAGTTACTGTCATGATTTAATCATAAATATGCTCCAATTAAAGCTGTAATAACTCTGACTCTGCATAATTGTTAAAACCGTCACCATGTCATGACAGCTGATTCTGAGACAGATGGGAATTAATTTACTGTGAATAATTAATCATGATAATAATTCTGATTTATCACTGTCATGTTAAATGGCAGTTATGATAAATACATAAAAAACAAGTGACATTATGATCAGAGATGTTCATTTTTATTTTCTTTGCTTTTTGTTCCATTTTTTGATATTTACCAATATTAATAAATATCAGTAAATTTGAAAATCTGATTAAATGTTTGCAGTTTAGTGACATCAACCACACTATGAGGAAGAAGCGTCTTTCAAACAGGAGCTTTTTCAAGAACAATATTTATGTTTGATGAGCTTTTAACAAACTTACCTAAGAAATAAGGAATAGTTTTAACGTCATTTTTATCGTCATCAATAGTATTGTTAAATTATTAAGTCCACATCAGCCCATCTGTAACCAGATAGTCTGAAGAAATGCACCACTCCAACCAAAAACAACCAATCAGAGCCTGGAGCCGGGCCTCAGTGCTGTCAATCATTCCCGTGTATGTGTTGCTGAATGTTCTAATGGCGGAGAAACACAGGAGCAGTACACACAGGCATGATAATCAAATTTTTCAGATTATGTCTCATAGAACCGCCACGATATAGAGACAGGTTTGACAAACATGCAAAATCTATTTAATAATTTAAATGCTGCAGCTTTAAAGACTGAAGCTGCTCATTTACTCACGCTGAGCGTCTTCTTGATTTTTTAATTCTGATTTTCGTTTCAGCTTCTCGATCACCTGCCGATCTAAAGCTTCTTTATCCACCTGTGAAGCAGATCAGTGGATCATCACACATTGGACTTCCCTCAGAAACATCCATAGTGTTTTTCACTGACGTACAACAAAGCTTCCAAAGTTCCTGAGATTATTGATTTGAATCTAAGGTGAGTCTAATACTATAAATATTGAATAAAACGACGCTTCACATATCTCAAAGCGCACTGAGATATAAAACAATCTTGAACTACATGATCAAATGGCGACGATTTAAAATTTAAAAGTTAGATTTCCTTTTAATTTCTCATCAAATAAGGAGTTTTGATTCAACTCAAAGACTCCTGAGATGATTTTGTTGCCTGTGGCGCCCCTGGACTCTCTGCCCTGGGCAGGAAGCCAGGAAACGGCCTGAGTTCCGCGCTGGTTCCGCTGGATCCTCTGCTGCAGCAGAAACTCACCCCGATGGTTCTGAACTTCTCATTAAAGATCCTGTGGCGTCTTTCCGCCTCGTAGTTCTGGCGGCGCTCCGCGCTCTCTCTGGCCTTCCGCTCGCGAGGCAACTCCACCTGAAACATCTCAGCTTCACCTTCAGCTTCACCTTCAGCTTCACCTTCAGCTTCACCTTCACCTTCAGCTTCACCTTCAGCTTCCTGTCTGTCAGTGAAAACAATACGGTTGCTAGGTAACCACAGATTCGCAGCCGCTGCGTTGTATCCGGACAGGCGTCCGCCATGTTGTGAGGGGCAAACCTGAACTCAGAGGACAGACAGTTTAAAGCATTCAAAACTTCCAGAGAAAAGATTCAGCTTTCAGGTCTGGGAAGAAAAAAAAAACAATATTATTCTATTTATTCATAAAAAAATTTTAACTCTAAAAATTTCACAACTATTTTCTCTGCCCATTTATTTTACTGTTTTACTTTGGAAATCCTACTTCCTTTTGTTCCATCAGATGATCTTAAAACACATTTTAACAGGCAATAATCTTCAGATTGAGATTAATTTTTAAAAAGTCAAGAAAACAAAAAACAGTTAATTTTTCTTAAGTTAAAATTCAGATTTGTGGAATTAAAACAGAATTTTCCATTTCAGGAAAATAAGTTAAATGAATCTCAAACTTCTGATATGAAAGTCTTAAAGTTGGGAGAAAAATATCCACTTTCCAATATTTGATTCAATATTTTCTAATTATATGAAGTAAAAAAATTCAAAGAAAATCTCTGAATTTGCAGCTTTTTGGTCACATTTCGCACAAAAAAGGCCAATTTCTCAAAACTTTAAGTTGTAACTTTATGAAATGTGCATTGATATTTCAATATTGATAGCAGAACTTCCTACTTTTTAAAGTTTTTTTACAAATGTGTCTGACCTTCGGAATTTTAGTTTTTTTGAAAAGTAATAATTCTTTAAAGCATTTTAAACATGTAAAATAGTCAATTTAACTATCATAATGACTGAAGTTTGTGAAAAACCTTTTTCACTCCTGTTGTCATGAAACCAAAATGTAACTCGACTTTAGTAATAAAATGAACAAACTGTCACTTTTAAAGTTTTATTTTCACACGGAATGAAAATATATTTTTGAACCGCAGCTGCAGCAACACAAGAAAAACCCAAAACTAATAGAACCATGAATCAACTTTACACTTTTAAATTTATTTTTTATATGACAAAACCCCAAAACACATGAAGACATTTAAATAATCCTGGTCACGGGCAGCTTTAATAAACATAAATCCAAATGAAGTTTCTCATAGTAACGAAGGTTATTTGAACCAAACATGCCAGATTTCTTATTCATCATCATCTCAGGGAACAAAACAAGAACTTTTTCACCTTTAACTTCTCTAATCAGTGTTTTTTTTAACAGCATTTTGTAACAAAAGACCCTCAGACCCTCGCAGAGCTGCAGAGAAAACCAGCCGAAACCTTCAGTCTGTTAAAAAACCAGCAGCTAAACGAAGAAAAGCTTCAGAGGCTGCAAATGGACATTTGTTGGGTTTTATATGCTCACATTATTGATATGAAAACAAAATAAATATTTAATCTCCCTTCATCTATTTACAAAATGATTTCATTTAATTTCAGTAAAATAAATTCATAAAACGTATTTTTATTTTCTTCATGCATAGAGCTTTAGTGACCCGTTCGCTGCAGCTCAGGTGGGTTTAAAAGTCTTTAATGACGTTTTGGATCTTCCACCGCTGGCCGCTGCAGTCCTGGATCACCAGAACCCTGTTCACCATTTCCAGGCAGCGCTTCGTCTGACGGTTCTTCAGCTGTTTTCCCTGGAACACAATTAAAAAAAGGGTCAAAGGCAATAAAACTTGGTTTACTTTTGAGCCGTGCAGTAAGTCTGAACTGGTTCTGAGGTCCAACCTGGGTGAAGTCCCAGTATATCCCCATTCCTTTCTGCATGGCCTCTTTGCAGTTGAACAGACCCGGCTCGGTTTTCTTCTCCCCTCTGTCGGTCAGACAGCGGTTGTCGTTGTACTTGTGGGACTTGATGCCGCCGATGTACATCTCACCAGTTTCACGGTAATAGGCCATCTGGAGTAGAGACAGGAGAAACGGAGAGGAAAAAACTGTTTCCTCCCACATTCCTGTCCTTTTTCCTTACAGTTAAATGTTTCAGATCATCAAACTAATTTTATTAGACAAAATCAGATATGGTTCTGAAATAATACAATTATTAAAGTGTGCCTTACAACACTGTGAAACAATAAACCACTTTTCTTTCTTGCATTGTTCATGCTGCTAATTAAATGCGACTGAATGATTTTCGACCCGCAGGAAGAACGTAGGCGTCACCGTGCGGCGCTCTGTAAAGATGGCCGCCGCCGTCTACGGTTAGGATCGGTTAACAAGTCATTCTTAGACAATCAGATTTTACTTTTCTCTGTTCTGCCTATTTTGAGCTGTTTAAGGGCCTGTCACTTTAAATCCAAATAAGCTGCTGCTGGCCACGCCCCCGATTCAGGGTTAAGTTGGCTGCAAACAGATGAGCAGTCATACAAAAGCAGAAGTGACGTCTCCTGCACATTCAACCAGAATGCAGCAAGTGGTTTCTGGATGGTGAGTCAACAACAAACTCCTGTCTTTTCCAGCAGCCGTTGTACAGCACATATGGTGGTAAAACCAGCTGAACAAACCTGCTGGAACTTCCTGGGGTTGGTAGGTAACAGGGCAGTACCTGTTGATATGTGATGTCACGTTCTAGATGTTTTTGAAAGGACTCACTTTCCAGACACCAAAAAGAAACATTTCATTAGAAAAAATGTTTTTTAAAACTCTTTGAATGTTTTCAGAAGAAGAAACTGAAATGGAAGTAAAACGTTTTAGGTGACTAAAGTTCTGAATCTGAAGCTCTGCAGGCCTCACTGTCTGTTAAGGTCAAAGGTCATAGGACTCCATAGGACCAGAACCACGGCTGACCCAAAGGAACAGAAAAACTCGCCTCATATTTACCAGAAACAGCTTGAAGATCAAGACTTTGATAGCATTTAATTTTTACTCTGATTCCGTTTTTCTGGTGTTAAAGTTTATTCACTGATCTGAAAAATTTAAATGCAACAAAAAGAAAATCTGTAAGGGACTGAATACTTTTCCACAGCGCCATTTGGGCCGGTACCGACCGCTTCTCTTACCTGCGGTCCGTAGTAATGGCAGTCGAAGGAAATGGGCGTGTCGCCGGGGACCGGACCTTGGTCGATGCACAACTCAGAGTCCAGGTTCTTCAGCTGTCAAGAGAGGAAGAGGAGGGTGAGGAAGACGCCGGGCTCCGTCCTGCCAGCGGAGAGCAGCAGCTGCTTACCGCGCCGTAAGCCAGCAGGTTGTCCCAGGGGTCCAGTTTGGGGTAAACGTTGTCCAGGTACCATTTGAACGGTTTGCAGTTCAGTCGTTCTCTCAGTTTCTTCCTCTCAGAAACGTCTCCGATGTCGATACCGTGATTCTGCACAGAAACAAAACGGATCCATCTGCCTGAAATCTTCCCTCACTGCAATCCAAACCGTTTTAAAGTAAAACACAAACCTGCAATCAGCACGTCAGGCTGCGACTATCGATTACTAATCAATTATTTTCACAATTAATCGGATCAAAAAAATTGGCACGGTCTGCATATTTTTTATTCATCCCCTTAAATCTATTTTACAGATTACTAAAAGTACATTAACAGATGCAAAGAAGCAAATAATTCAATAATTTTTTTTTAATTTAAAAAAATAATTCTGTATAAAATGGAACATTTCCAGAAAACGATTTTAAAAATTTAGGATATTTTTTTTTTATCCAGCAAAGAACTACAGAGATTTGACTGCTTTGCTTATTCAATTAAAATATTGTACGTTTATTTATTTCGCAATTTATACTTGTTTTTGCAACTGCAATTAAAAATGAGCAATTGAACATTTTGTGCCAAAACACCACAGATCCGATCCGTCATCAACGAGGCGAGCTGCTCAAGTTCTTTTAGGAATAAAAATGCGGCCAATCTGTCTGTTTATTTTGTTATTTGCTTTTTCTTGTTTATGTAGATTTTAGATGGGATTTAGTGAGAAAAAATAAAGCTAAATTTCTAAACTGGCAACACAAAACGTGATTTTGTTTGGGGGAAAAAAATGTAAAATTATTCTAAAATCTGGGCGGACTGAGCAGAACACGGCGCCGCTCACGGCGCCGCTCACGGCGGCGTTCACGGCGCCGCTCACGGCGGCGTTCACGGCGACAGTTTGAATTAAAACCCGAACCTGATCCAGTCAGACTGCAGGTAATGATGGCTGCCAGTCATTGCTGTGCAGCTCCTGATGAAACGGCGTTTGCTTTACGCTCATGCGTTGCTTCCTGTCTGCGGCTCTCGTACCTCGAAGGGAAGATTCCAGGCCAGGTTGATGTTGTGTTTGTATTCGTCCATCCAGATCTCGGCGACCCTCAGGGCGTTCCTCTTCATGGCGGGCGACAGGTCCAGCATGTAGGGCTTGTGAAAACGCTCGATGTGGGCGATCTTTGAGCAGGGAACGACCTCGATGCTGCCGCCACATGTCCACACCTACAACCAGAAACATAAAAATTATTATTAAAATCTGGCATTATTTCCCTCTTGTCGTCCAACCACAGACTTCACCGCTACTCCAACACTAAACTCTTATTTATGTTATTTAAATAAAGATTTTCCAAACAAAATATTTCTATTGCAAGCAGTTTTAAATACAGTGCAATTATTTTTCTCTCAATATTTTCCTTCATGCCAATAATCCCTTTGTTTTATTAGAGCAGAAAAACCTGAACAAAAAAGTATGAAAGAGAGCTTTTAAATTAGTCGTGGTGTGGTGGTTTTTAGGTCTCCTCGACTTCATTTCTCTTGGCTTCCTGCTTGTTGTGGAATAAATCATCAGAATTTTCTCTGACTGAAATAAAAGCTGCAGACTTTGCCATCACTACTTTAACGACGAGTTGAGCGCTGAAAACATGATGTCACACATTTTACAGCTCGATTCTCCATCTGTTTGCTAATTGATGCTGGCTAGTCTGAAGGAGCAGAGTGGGGGAGGAGCTGCGTCTCGAAGGCAAGGCTAGGTCCAACCAGAGAGAAAAGAATTTCTCAAACATTGAAGACCGACGCCACGGGTTTGTTTTCTCAACTGAAGCTCTTTTCAAAGGCTGATAAATATTATTTTGGCGCTTCGACGGTAGAACAGAAAGCAAACACACCTGCTAACCATTATCAATGTTACTGGAGTAAACACCAGGAGGCGCTGCAGCTTGGTAACGCCTTGAGTCAAACTTTTTAGATGTACTCACACGAATCCCAAGCTCGACGTTTTCTCCACCATAAACTTTCATTCCTTCGTCGAGGAGTCCGATTTCTCCCAGAAACTTCCTGTCGGCCACCAGGATCCCCATGACCGACGGACTCCTGCAGCGAGAGACGAGAACCGCAGATCCATTTATTCTTCCTGAATCGTTTTAATGCCACTGTGTTTAAAGGGGCTGCAAAGACATTTCATAGCTCAAAGAAAATCCACTTTTCCACTGATAGATCACTTTAGCATTGGGGAAAATATCTGGTTATAAAATAATTTTCCAATGAAATTAGTAACTTTTTTTTATAAAATTAATATTAAGGAATTATTTGTTCCTATATCTTTCTAAAATGTTATTTAAGTTAACCATCTTATTTCAGGTCTATTATCATATTTACACTAGAAAAAGCACCAAAAATACTAAATACTAGTAAAATTTGTGTTTTTGCAGTGCAGCTGAGACAAGTTAACTAGTTTGATATTTTATATTTCCCAACAGCGGCAGCAACAAACAGCAGGAAGAGATTAACATATTGTCTGTGTAACTATAAAAATAAGATAGAAATTATTTTTCCATGTGTAACAAGTTTGTATTATTCAATGTAACGGGTGTTCTTGGGGCCCCCTGGTGGTGTGGAGGCCCTAAGCAGCCGTTTCTATTGAGGTTAATAAGAAACATTAAATCAGGTTTGGGAATAAATGCTTTGATGTGAACATTTACTGTGATGATCATAAACGACTCGGAGTCTCTGGTGTTGGCTGTTAAGACGCTGATCGTCTCTCATGCTGAGGAGTTTGGATCCTGCTGGAAGTTCAGAGCTGAAGGATGAACTTACTTTCCGGGCCGGGAGCTGTCGTTGTGCTTGTAGTAGTCGGGGGCGAAGCCCTCATACATGCACCACAGCGCCCAGTCGAACGCGTGCGCCGCAGGGAGGTACTGGATGACCTTCAGATCGTCAAAGTTCACCCTGTCGAAGACGGGCGAAACCACCGTGGTCCGGTCGGCTTTGATCTGCGTCAGCAGCGGTTCGACCCTGAGAGGCAAACGAAACAAGAAAAAACATTCTTCATAGTTCTGCTTTTAGAGACGGAACTTCACCAGGACTTGCTGCAGCAGTGAGGTCTTGCTGCAGCAGAGAGGTCTTGCTGCAGCAGAGAGGTCTTGCTGCAGCAGGGATGTCTTGCTGCAGCAGGGATGTCTTGCTGCAGCACAGAGGTCTTGCTACAGCAGGGATGTCTTGCTGCGGCAGAGAGGTCTTGCTGCGGCAGAGAGGTCTTGCTGCGGCAGAGAGGTCTTGCTGCGGCAGAGAGGTCTTGCTGCGGCAGAGAGGTCTTGCTGCGGCAGAGAGGTCTTGCTACAGCAGGGATGTCTTGCTGCAGCAGAGAGGTTTTGCTGCAGCAGAGAAGTCTTGCTGCAGCCTGCCTGATGTATAAATGGGTGGAGTTTGAAACGCAGAGGGAGCATCGGAGGAAAAAAATTGTTCCAGCTCAATAATAAATGTATTTTGAGTGCAGACTGTAACGACGTTATAAAAACTTGTTTGCTTGCTGTCAGTAAAACAAAGGTGGAAACAGCCGGCGGGAGCCGCGCCTGCATGACAAGCAGCAGAACAGCTGCTGAACGGACCAGAGAAACTGATCTGGTCAGTTTGGGATCAACAGTATCAGCACAAACAGGGTGTGTTTACTTTACCCCACAGATGCTGAATGAAACTGAGGTCTGGACTCTTTCCAGGTTCATGCAGAAGGTTTCACTGTTAGAGGAGATCCGGTAAGATTCCTCCAGAGGTTCGGACGGATTTGTGGCTGGAGAGTCCAAACTGTTTCCATTATGACCCCAGAGAGAAATTACAGGCCAAAACGTTTCCATTTCTTAAAACCAACAACAGTTCTATTGAAATTGTTTTATCTGCTTCATGCTGAAATAAACCTAGCATAACATATTTTACACAAATAAAATTACATTTTTGTAGGAAAGGAATGTATAAATCTTTCTAGATTTAATATTTCAGAACAGTGTAATTATTTATCCAAAAAAGGCAGTTAGTTATTAGCTACGCACTCTGACCTTGACTGAAAAAATGTGAAAAAGATTTAATCTATTTTCTCAACAAAAACACAAATCATTCTTTTTTAATACTTGCTGCAAAGTTTTAATAATGTAATTAAAAGCAGATGTTTGTGCACCAAGGTCTGCTTCATGAAACTGTGACATATTTGTGAGAAGACTTTAATTTGTGGGTCAGAACGTCTGCATCAACCTCCTGCTCTGGTGGGACCAATCTGCATCACTGAGGGACCATAAATGGCCCCCGGGCCACTCTTTGGACACCCGGGGATAAAAGAGTTCTCATTCAATTTTTCATACAAAGTCTGAAAAATCTTTCCATTTCTCTACTTTTATGTAAATAACTGCTGAACATTTACATTTCATCCACATCAAAATGGATGAAATGTAAGTTAAACAACCTGAAACTCAGACCTGGAGCTGAACCATTAAAACAACATTCATCGTTTATCAGATCTGATTTCCAATATTGATCATTTTCTTTTCTAAAAACAAAAATGCTGATGTTAAAAGTTAATGAGAAATATCCTGCTACTAATAATTTGATGCTGATGTGTTTAAAAATGAATTTATTTATCCCTATCTGCAACATTAATTTTATTTTATTTTCATATTTTACATGCAATAGCTCCATTACAATAACTTCTGATTTCCTTTATTCTGGAAATGTTAAAACTTTTTTTCTCATGTGATTAGACCAAAATTATCAAGTCCAAAATACCTTTAAGGCAAAAATTACAACAGAGCGAGAGTTAGAGATGAAAACTGTCGGGTTTTGTTCTTGCTCAACAATAAGCGTGCAATATTTTATTGTTGTCTATTAATTCAAGGAAAGCAGCAGGCTCATTAAAACAAAGGAAAGCAGTTTGCATATTTTTTGGAGACTTATTTGGAAAAAAATATGTTGAAAAATTGAGTATATTCTCATCAAAAGAACAGTGTTTGGGTCTCTCTTATTGGAAATACTTGTTGTATTTGGTCAAGCTTAATAAAACAATTAAATGCAGATTTTGGTTAATTTCAATATGATTTAAAGTAAAAGTCACTGAAAAATAAAAGTTGGGTATTAAAAGTTGAACAGCTTCTGTTTTATCAAACCTTTTCTGATTCTCATAAAATCAGACGATGATGTCATTCATGTCTTTCTAGGCTCCTGATTGGTTAATTCAGAGCTACGGCCTATCAGACTGTGCAGCCCAGCTGCAGAAACTGGTTTCCAGTTGGGGTTCTGCTCCTACCACAGCTCATGGACTTCGATGTGAGCGTCCAAGATGGCCACCACATCGGCGGTGGCCGCCCTCCAGCCAGACGCTCTGGCGAACGCCAGGCCTTTCTGCTCCGTGTGCCTCACCCTGGCAAACCGCAGGCCCGGGTTCTCCTCCTCCAGAGACTTAACGTACGCATCAAGGTCACCTTTCAGGTTTTCTGGAATGAAAGCAGAGAGTTGAATCCGGTTGGACAGACAGGAGATGTGAAAATAGAGGAACTGGAATGCAAAGCAGATTCAAAACAAGTGACACAAAAGATGCTTTGATGTGAACAAGCAGCAAGACATGAATCAACCACTTTATTGTTAACACTTCTCACAAAACTATAGTCAGGACAGGTGTGCAAACGCAGTGTTTCCTGCTCGTATCTGTCTCTAGTCTCTCCAGTTTACTGACAACAAGCATTCATTTCAACATGCATCAACTAACAGGCTGCATTTCATAAAACTCAGTAGAAAGGAATTATTTTAGTTTTTAGAGCAATACAGCTGGAAGTTGATATTTTGTTTTTAAGGGAGCCGGATTGTGTAAAATAGACCTTTCTGCCTTTCTGATCTTCCCATTATGTCAAGTTGATCAGCAACAATCCCTCCCGGAACCAAACCGACCCGGAACCAAACCGACCCGGAACCAAAGCGACCGGGAACCAAAGCGACCGGGAACCAAACCGACCCGGAACCAAACCGACCGGGAACCAAAGCGACCGGGAACCAAACCGACCCGGAACCAAACCGACCCGGAACCAAAGCGACCCGGAACCAAACCGACCCGGAACCAAACCGACCGGGAACCAAAGCGACCGGGAACCAAAGCGACCGGGAACCAAAGCGACCGGGAACCAAAGCGACCGGGAACCAAACCGACCCGGAACCAAACCGACCCGGAACCAAACCGACCCGGAACCAAACCGACCCGGAACCAAAGCGACCGGGAACCAAACCGACCCGGAACCAAAGCGACCGGGAACCAAACCGACCCGGAACCAAACCGACCCGGAACCAAACCGACCCGGAACCAAAGCGACCCGGAACCAAAGCGACCCGGAACCAAAGCGACCCGGAACCAAAGCGACCCGGAACCAAAGCGACCGGGAACCAAAGCGACCGGGAACCAAAGCGACCGGGAACCAAACCGACCGGGAACCAAAGCGACCCGGAACCAAAGCGACCGGGAACCAAACCGACCCGGAACCAAAGCGACCGGGAACCAAACCGACCGGGAACCAAACCGACCCGGAACCAAAGCGAGCCGGAACCAAAGCGACCGGGAACCAAACCGACCCGGAACCAAAGCGAGCCGGAACCAAAGCGACCGGGAACCAAACCGACCCGGAACCAAAGCGACCCGGAACCAAAGCGACCCGGAACCAAAGCGACCGGGAACCAAAGCGACCCGGAACCAAAGCGACCGGGAACCAAAGCGACCCGGAACCAAAGCGACCCGGAACCAAAGCGACCCGGAACCAAACCGACCCGGAACCAAAGCGACCGGGAACCAAACCGACCCGGAACCAAAGCGACCGGGAACCAAAGCGACCGGGAACCAAAACCGACCCGGAACCAAACCGACCCGGAACCAAAGCGACCCACCGTTGGAGCTGTTGTCGTCCACCAGGATGATTTCCTTCAGCAGGTGTTTGGGCGTGCGGTCGATGATGCTGCGCAGCGCCCTCTTCAGGATGGACAAGGCCTCGTTCAGGTAGATCAGCACCACTCCCACCGTCGGCAGGTCCTTCTCATAGGTCCTCTTCAAACACCTGCAGAATCGTGTTCAACAAACCGTTTTATCAAAGTTCATTTGGATGAACTTGTGAAGTGAAATGTGAGCAAACTGGCGAAGGGTTAAAGGTCAAATGATTGCTCTATCCACGATAAGGTGGAAAGAACAGAGAATCAGGGCTGGAGAAGAAAGTTATGATTCTTACCAATAAAAAGATGCAAAAAGATTTTAAAGTTATAAAGATTTTGTGTTTTTAAATAGTCATTTCAAAATCCAGCTGCTGTTAATAATTTGATGTTAATGTGTTTAAAAAAAAGAATAATTTCTTTCTTTCTAAAACTGATGCCAAATTTGACATTTCTTATTTTATTTATTAAAAATGATTTTTTTTATTAAACTTGCTGTTGTTTCTAGAAAAGCTTCACGAAACCTTTTACTGTTCATTAATTAGTTTAAATTGAGTCGGATTCATTTTCCATCTGTATTGTTACTGCGTTTGTACATTTTGTGTTATGAATATCTGTCTTATAAATAAGAGACAAATGGATACATCATAAAATTAACTACATTTTGTCATTATTACAATTTTCTTTTCATTATTTACACTTTATTTTTGTATTGTTTTCAGAAAATGATTTTTCTCGTATTTCAACTGTTGCACGACTTTATTCTCGTGTTATTTTCACTGTATTCTCTTGTTACTCCGATTTTACTCTGAAAATGAAGGAAAATATCAGAGCTGGTCGTCTAATATCACCAGATAAAGTCAGTTTTACCCTTTTTCTCTGGTATCGGGCAGCGGTCGGTCCAGAGGAAGGCGATCGCTCAGGAAAACGTTGTATCCGTACATCTCAAACAGAGACTGGGCTTCTTTTTGCTCGTCCGCGGACAGATGCTCCCCCCAGTCCTTGAACAGGGCCGAGTTGGGGAACAGTTTCTTGGACTTTTTCTGCGGGGCGGGAGCATCTTGGTGCTGCTGCTGCTGCTGCTGCTGCTGCTGCTGCTGCTGCTGGTCCTCCCTGAGCTGCACGGCTTGCTGCAGGACGTCTGCAACCTTCCTCTGAGTGTCTCGGTTCTCCTCCAGGATCTGTTGCATCACATCCTGTCTGCGCTCAAATCCTCTGAGGATCTTGGCTGCAAAAACAAGAAATCCACAAAGTAAAAACACAAATTTAGCTCATCGCATCTCATCTGTCTAAATTACAGTTTTAAAGAAATTCCTGTAACATTACGGGCAAAAAATAAGAAACGACACAAAATAAGACAGAAGAAAATTCCATTTCAAATTCTTCCTCTTCTGTTGTATATAAAATATACAACAAAAAAAACATAAAAAGTTTAATAAAACATTTTATTAAACTTGAACTAATTTATAAAATTTATGTAGCATATTTGAAAAGACAATCTAAATTGTTATTCAATATAAATGGCTTTTAACCAAGATAATAGGCCAGTTTCCTTTCTTTTTTTCTTTCAGAAGAATAGGTACGACTCAAGAAAGAGCAGTTAGGCTAGAGTTTGCAGCTCCGAGTGTTTTGTATTTGCAATGTGAATATCATATTTACATATTTACAACCACAACATTGGGATATGCAAATGGCCATCAAGGAAAAAAAACAAAACAATGAAATAAAAAGAAAAATAGAGGAGAAAAGAAGAAACACAACAAAGGGAAAAAACAAATTAATCAATCGTTCCCAAAGTTCATCTTACAACCCCTTAGTCCATCCACCCCGAATGGGGATTAATCAGGCTCGCAAACAAGGCGAGTATCCAGGGCGTGGTTCACGTCCTGGGTAATTGAAAGTCCAATCAAAGAAGGAACAGAGTTCTTTGTAGGATTCTCCTACCAGCTGGGTAGAAGTAAGCAGTCTTCTGTCACCAACCGGTGAAATCTTTCTTTGGCTCTAGGCCTGGTCTCATAGCTCACCATCCACCTGGCCTGTTCCGCAGTTTTGTGTCATACTACCGGATCTTTTTCATCTCCCTTTCCGGCTCACAATAATGGGCTCCTGCCAGCTCTGCTCCTTCCAACGCGTTCTACCCTTCACGGCCTTTCGCTTGAGCTAATATACCTAGCCGGTAAACTGGAAAGGTACATGTGACCCCAGTACTCAAACGCGATTGGCTAAATGATAATCTCGCGAGAATCACTCATAATACTATCAAAACATCGCGAGATTTGAGGCTAAAAGGCAAAAGAGTAGAACATCAGAGGAATTGAAGGTTTAAAATTACACTCGGGTTACATCCTCCCCCCTTAATTCCATGCAACACCGGTGCATGCTAAATTATCTGAACACTATGACGCACAGGAGCATCTAAAACAGGTTCAGCAACCATTTCACCATAAGCAGTAGCTAGACTGTGTAAAAGATTTTGCACTACAGAAATTAAAGGATTTCCTAAAGCAGCATACTGAAAGCGCTTAATTGGTTTTGGCTCTCGACTAGACCGACGAATTGACTGTTCAGCTTTTAAACCATCACTAGCCTTATGAGCAGCTATAGGTGATTCAATGGAATGTGATGCTGGCATGGTCGAATTTGGTAATGTCTCTACTGGGCCATGGCTCTCCAAATCTTCAGATGGGCTTAGCTCAGGAACATGTTCAAGTTCAGGTGAATTTCCTGGGTCCATCTGATCTTGTGAAGGAACTTTTTCCAGGGCTGGAAGTGGATCCATAGCATCAGACAGTAGAGACAACTTATCCTCATCAGATGAAGGATTCTCTTTTCCCATCTCAGGAACTGAGACTCTGTTTATGGGCTGGGTAGGGCATGTCCCCTCAACACTGACCTTCACAGTTGGTAAAACTGAAAATCGAGATGCCCTCCAGTCCTCATCCTCCTCATCTGGGCTTTCCTCCAATTCTTCCACTGGTTCTTGTAGACTGCGGGTCTGCGGCCTATGAGCCGGTGTGGAAACTGGTGGGTCAACTTCAGTCTGAGGAAGAAATCCACAAGGGAGAAGAAGGTCGCGGTGCAGAGTCCGGGTCCCTCCAGAGGGATCTGCTTCTGGTCTTACAATATACACAGGAAGCTCACCCACACGACCAATCACCACATAGATGTTTGTCTCCCACTTATCCTCCAGCTTATGCTTGCCTCTGAACCTCACATTTCGGACTAATACTCTATCACCTTCTTCAAGACTTGCTGGTTTTACTCTCTGATCAAAACAAATCTTGTTTCTTCTTGCCATCTTTTCTGCATTTTTAGAAGCTAGCTGAAAACTTTCCTTCAGCCGAGAACGCAGGTTCTGCACATATTGAGAATGTGATTGGGATGACGAATCTCTGAGAGGCAAGTTGAAAGCTATGTCAACAGGAAGTCTTGGACAGCGACCAAACATCAACTCATATGGAGTAAAACCTGTAACCTCATTTCGGGTGCAATTATAAGCATGAACAAGTGGCTTGACATACTCTTTCCATATAGTTTTCTGCTCTGGCTCCAAAGTACCCAACATACTGAGCAAAGTTCTATTGAACCTTTCAACAGGATTTCCACGGGGATGGTATGGCGTGGTGTGTGACTTTTTAATGCCAGCAATATTGCAGAGCTCTTCAATGAGGTGAGACTCGAAATCAGGCCCTTGATCCGTGTGCAGGCGTTCAGGAAACCCATAATGCACAACAAAATTCTCCCACAGACATTTTGCAACGGTCTTCGCTTTTTGATTGGCTGTTGGAAAAGCCATAGCATACTTAGTAAAATGATCTGTGAGGACAAGAATGTTTTTAGTGTTGCTTTTATCAGGTTCAATTGATAGATAATCCATGCACAGGAGCTCAAGTGGCCGGCTTGTCTGGTTATTCACCAATGGTGCAGCTCGTTCGGGCAAAGCTTTTCGACGAATGCAGCGATTGCAAGTTTTAATCTTGTTTTCTACATCTACAGACATGCGTGGCCAGAAAAACCTAGCTCTTACAAGGTCAAGTGTTCTTTCAATCCCCATGTGCCCCAAAAGATCTCGCAAATGATTGCGAACAGCTTCAATGTCATTTGGATGTATAGGGCGAGCACGATGTTTAAATGGGGTCTCATCATGAAGATGAATGTGATGCTTCACCCGATCAGTACATCCAAAGTCAAGGTCATGATGAGAAAACACTTCTGGTATTTCTTTGAGTTTAGCAATAATGTGATCTTTCCAATCAGGAGAAACCGGAGAATCTCCAAATTCAAACTGGAGATCAACTTTGTCAGTGTTCCTGGGCTGCATATTACAACAGGAAACCTCAGAAAGAAGCTGAGGTGACACTGTAATTTCTGCAATAATAGCAGACGGTGACAATGTTATGCTCTGTTTTGACTCATTTGTGATAACCACTGGGATCTTATGAGGTGTATGCTTGGGCAATGACACCAGACAACTTTTCACACACAATCCTCCCGGCAAAGGAGTAGATGGCTGCTCAACTAATGCCCAACTGCTAACCGGCAGCAAGCTGGTATGGGCATTCCCTTCTAGAACTCTGGTATGGCCTGCTGAAATAACTACAGGCGACTCACTATCTAATGCTACGTCACATACACTGGGTTCTTGGGTCTGCTGATGACGCAACTGAAGCAGCTTGAGAACAGCTTTATAGCAATACTTTGATAGGCTAAAGCTAACACGTTCATCTTTCAGATGTTTGTCATACAATGAATCAAGAGTGTTCATTCCTATCAGAACATGGGACTGAGTTCCACTTTTAACATCTGGAACCACAAGTGCCAGAGTACAAACATCCAGATCAGTGCCAATAAACTCTTTGGGAAAAATGACCGTCATTTCTATATACCCTAAGTATGGGACAGCTTGGCCTGCAGCTCCCTCTACTTATAATAGCTCACTTAATGGTTTCACAGGTTGATGAGAAAAATACTGATTGTAAAATGAAACTGGTATTGTAGTAACTTGGGATCCTGTATCTAACAGGCATTGAACTTGCTCCCCAGCTATTATTACTTGACCAGTACATTTTGAGCCAATCAACCCTTGTGGCAATTCTGCAGCCTCAGGAGTTACATGAGACAAATTAGTACATCTTATAGGTGTCTGCTTGGTGGGACTTTGCTGGTCCTCTGCAGTTCCCGTTCGCCCCTCAACGAGAACCTGATTCAGTTTAACGACAGGGCACTATGCGGGTTCATTTTCTGCCACTTCTTCTGCTTTTCCATTAACTGTTTCTTTTTGGCAGCAACCAGTAAAGGATCAGGAGGGTTGTCACACTTAGGTTTTATATGTCCATCTTCCCCACAGTTGTAGCAGTAACCTGGCTTGGGTGATGAAGATGCTTTTTTGTGAGAGGGTTGAGACACACTTTTACTAGTTTGTGGGGACTGACTGAACTTGGCAACATGCATAGATTTTGGCAAAATGGGCGGGTTCTGACCGGACTGAACACTTGAAAGAGCGGCCAACTGTTTTTGTATATCAGCCAACTGCTTGGCAAGTTGCTTGGTGATAACAGTCAAATTATCATAAGCACTTTGTTCTTCAACTGGTGCACAAGCATGATGTAAATGTACACTAGCCCTGGGTTTACTGGAACCAAGATGCTGTTTCATACGCTGAGCTTTGGCAGCTTCTCTGTCTTCTTCTGTTCTTAGCAACAACAACAATTCTGCAAAAGACGGTGGTTTTGACTTGCGCTGTTTAAGCTGGAGCTCAGAAATTAAGGTGTTATCCCAACATCTACGACAGAATTGATTCAGCAGATGCTTTTCAAAATCAGCAGCCAATACTCCACCCCTCCGTAAGGCATGGTTTAGAGTCACTTGCAAGCGTTGTAAATAAACTGATGGCTTTTCACCTGCGTCTTGAAACTGCTCCATAAATTTTGCATACAGTTCATCGCCATCTTGGACCGTTCCATAGGCAGAATCCAAGATTCTGAGGTAAATTAAAGGAGGAGCATCTGGTTGAAGATGTTTAACCATGTCTGCAGCTGGTGGTAACAAACTGTCAAATATCCTTCTAGAACGCTGTAGTTCTGATACAACAGGGTCTTTTAACAGTAGGTCAACACTGGATCGCCAAGTTTCATAGTCTGTTTCATGTTGTGGTCTTGGAGTTCGACCAGAAAATGATCTAAGCTTCAATGAGGACATGTGTATTGCATTGTCATCACTTTTCATGATATGCTCAACCACATACCTCTGGACTCCAGGTGGGTTGATATCTGACAAAGACATGGCTGGCAAAGGTCCAGAAGGACGTGACGTATAGTGTGCAGTAGGATCAGGTTGAACATGTGGCGACTCCCCATCCTCTGCAGCGACATCTTCTGGCTTAAGATGAAAACCACCCTTGGTTGCCATCTTTGATGTAAGGGAAGCAACCATGGCCAAATCCTCTTCTTCTGGGGAAGTCTTCAAAGAAGATGGGACTGGACAAAGTTCAGTGATGGATTGGCCCAGTAGAGACATTACACGCCTGAAGACATCTGTGTAATCCTGACCTGTAAGCTTAGCCACATTTTTCATTTCACTCAGGTATGTTTCAGTTATTATTTTAGTTTCTAACTCGGAGCAAACTACTGACAGCTCTTCAATTTCATAAGTAATTTTTTTAGTTTGGCAAACATACGTGTAAGGCAAGATTTTACACAGCCTCTCCAAAGCACTCCCTGATGAAAACTCAAAAATTATGCAGTTATAGAAATCTGAGTCAGAATCAGTTATAAATTCAAACTTTTCCATTGACCCGTATCCAGTCAGAAAATCAGCCACTTCATTATCAGTCTCTGAGTTCGTTGCATGTCTAATCAACACTGCGTTAGGCATTTTAAAACCACATTTCACCAAAACATCCATTTTAGCAACAACTAGCAACTGCAACACTCCAGCTTCTGTACAACTGCTCCTGGCTAGCTCACCACTAATGTATGTAGCATATTTGAAAAGACAATCTAAATTGTTATTCAATATAAATGGCTTTTAACCAAGATAATAGGCCAGTTTCCTTTCTTTTTTTCTTTCAGAAGAATAGGTACGACTCAAGAAAGAGCAGTTAGGCTAGAGTTTGCAGCTCCGAGTGTTTTGTATTTGCAATGTGAATATCATATTTACATATTTACAACCACAACATTGGGATATGCAAATGGCCATCAAGGAAAAAAACAAAACAATGAAATAAAAAAGAAAAATAGAGGAGAAAAGAAGAAACACAACAAAGGGAAAAAACAAATTAATCAATCGTTCCCAAAGTTCATTTTACAACCCCTTAGTCCATCCACCCCGAATGGGGATTAATCCGGCTAGCAAACAAGGCGAGTATCCAGGGCGTGGTTCACGTCCTGGGTAATTGAAAGTCCAATCAATCTTTGGACCCAATCTTTGTAGGATTCTCCTACCAGCTGGGTAGGAGAAGTAAGCAGTCTTCTGTCACCAACCGGTGAAATCTTTCTTTGGCTCTAGGCCTGGTCTCATAGCTCACCATCCACCTGGCCTGTTCCGCAGTTTTGTATCATACTACCGGATCTTTTTCATCTCCCTTTCCGGCTCACAATAATGGGCTCCTGCCAGCTCTGCTCCTTCCAACGCGTTCTACCCTTCACGGCCTTTCGCTTGAGCTAATATACCTAGCCGGTAAACTGGAAAGGTACATGTGACCCCAGTACTCAACCGCGATTGGCTAAATGATAATCTCGCGATAATCACTCATAATACTATTAAAACATCGCGAGATTTGAGGCTAAAAGGCAAAAGAGTAGAACATCAGAGGAATTGAAGGTTTAAAATTACACTCGGGTTACATTTAGAAAAAAGGGAACCTCGTAGGTTAGTTGATTAATGGACGACTAAACTTGAATGTCACTGGCATAGAAATTAAACGGCAGGTTGAGTTTGGCTGAACTTGGTGGCAAATAAAACCTTTTAGGACAGAGAGTGTTTAAATGACAACAGATAATATCTGAAAATACAGATTATGTATCTAAATCTGCTGTTCTTGGTTTTTTATTGACTAAATAGCTTTTTTCTACCAGTTAAAAAATATATAAATGAAGTCAGTAATACTTCCTGAGTGGTTTATAATTTTCTTATGCAGATTTTTAGATTTTATTTGTGTCATAACTATAAAGTTTATCACCGTTAAAGACAAACGCAGAGTCAGCTCAGGTTGTAAAAGAGGAACGACGTAACGCCAGGTGCAAACTCTTAAGATCATCTGAAAACAGATCAATTATTCAATTCACTTTATTCAATTCATTTTTCCCGTAAATTGTTTTAAAATTGCGGTTCCACTTTTGAGCAAAGTCCTGGGTAGGATTTCAACTCCAGCCTGTTTATTTGAGTCCAGAGATAAAATAATAAAATTGTGACTTTCACAAGAGCAGACTGAGCACTGGGTCGAAAATAAATCTAAAACAAGGTTGTTTTCTAAAAACTATTCTAACAAAGTAAAAACAACTTTTTCTATAAACATTTGACAAAAAGAGAAACCAGTTAGAGAAAAGAGAAACCAGGAAGGCGTGTTGCTGCTTCGGACTAAATAGGAACATTTTAAAATTAATAAAGACTTTAATAAAATAAAAGTATAGCATGACTGCGATCTTACTTTATGTCTTCTATGTTTTTTATCTTGAACATACATTTATAACAAATGCATATTGAAAAAACATTTTTTTTCTCTGACTTCACTTTACAAAGAATTACTTTGTGATCGGAAAGAAGCAGAAATATTCCAAACCAATAATCTATAAATGATTTTAGTCTTTGGCTTTTCTTAAAGTCGATGAAATAAAGTTAAATAAACTTCAAGTGCAGGGCTTCATTTTTAGCATAAAATATTTATACATTTCTCTATTTTTGTTTATTCTCTAGTTCAAATATGACATAAATAATTTTACAGCTCATTGCAGTAAATCATCAGATGGCAGATTTCTCTGAATCATCTCATTTTTCCAACTTATCATTTTTGTTTAAAGGTTCAGAAAAAGTTGTTTTTGCTCCTGTTTTACATTCATTTCAGTCCAATTTGAGAAATTAGACCAAAAAAACCCAAGTTGTGATTTTGAGTCATTTTTGGTGAGATGTGTCAGAAACCGGAAGTTAAAGTCCAATCATCGGTCGGGATGCACAGAAACTCACTCAGGTTGTTGAGGCTTCGCTCCAGTTCGGAGAAGCTCCGGACGGCTCGGTCCGGGTCCGGGTCCATTTGCCTCTCGGTTCTGTCCCTGGGCTCCGGTCCGGTCCGCAGGAACATCCCCACGAACAGCAGGAGGCCCGCGCACCCCACGATCAGCACCGGCCGCTTGAAGGACACCGCTCTCATGATGGAGTCGAACCGAACGGAACGGAACCGAGACTTGGAGCAGCCAGCCTGCAGCACCGATAAAACCTCCTGCACCGACAGGTTCTGCAGGACCCGCTGCTTTGGGACGCGGTGATGCGCGGCGCAGGTGTGTCCAATAAACAGTGACGTCAGCTGAAATAGCGCGCGGCAGACGTTATAATTAAAACGCCAGGAGCCTGTTGGTCAACTTCACCAGCATAGCAGAACATTTTCCATTTCTAACAATCAGGATGACGCAGGAGGGCGAGACGGTCCACAAGTTTTCATACCCCTGAACATCCAGGCAGGTTTATGATTTTAACTCATAACGATCCAAAAATGATGAAATATCCCTTTACACTCAAAAAACTGCTTGTTCAATTTACTTAATACAGGCATAAGTGTCAACAATTCCCACGAAACTTTGATATGTGTTGTGTATGGAACACTAGTTCAAAATAAATGATGTCCAAGCAGACGACTGGAACAAGCACATAGCAACATTTTATTTCCAAACGGGAACTCACTTCTTCTTCTGTAGTTACAGGTTCTCTAACCAGACTCTCAAAAACCACGAGAGCGCCACCTACAGAGTTTCATTAATTTCTGTGTCTGGAACACCACAGCTCCTCCCCTGTAAAATCAGTACTTCTCAATCAAGTATACATTTTTCAGGATTTTTTTTTTTCGTATGAACATAACTGAAAACAAGAAACTTCTTCTAACTCTCATTTAGAGTTGTAATTTCAAGTTCAGTCTGTCAGGAGGACGCCGGTTCCTCACTGGACGAGTGTTCCTTTCGACTGTAGGCGAAGACATGTCTATTGGTGGACTTCCAACAGTTTTTCTTCCACCTGTTGATCCACACCTTTAGTTGTAACAAGATCAACATCCTCATTCCAAAAGTTTCCTGTAGACAAGTCTGTCTGGATTTCCATTTACACCCAGAATCTGATTTACATGTCTTTTAACACATTTTCCATTCACTTCCACACTGTAAGTTACAGGACCCAAAATCTCTTGTACAACTCTGTTCAACCACTTCTCCCCTCCCCTGTAATTCTTTACTAAAACAGGTTGACCTACTGTGAACACTCTAAGACGTGGGAGCATTGGTTCCGTTCTTTGTTGCATCCTCTGAGAAAACTGGGGTCTGATCAGTGACAGTCTTGTTAGGCCCGAGCAGCTAAGCGCTGCGAAGGCCTATTGTTTCTGTACTGTTTCTTATTAGGCCCGAGCAGCTAAGCGCTGCGAAGGCCTATTGTTTTCCTATTGTTTATTAGGCCCGAGCAGCTAAGCGCTGCGAAGGCCTATTGTTTTCCTATTGTTAGGCCCGAGCAGCTAAGCGCTGCGAAGGCCTATTGTTTTCCTATTGTTAGGCCCGAGCAGCTAAGCGCTGCGAAGGCCTATTGTTTTCCTATTGTTTATTAGGCCCGAGCAGCTAAGCGCTGCGAAGGCCTATTGTTTTCCTACTGTTTATTAGGCCCGAGCAGCTAAGCGCTGCGAAGGCCTATTGTTTTCCTACTGTTTCTTATTAGGCCCGAGCAGCTAAGCGCTGCGAAGGCCTATTGTTTTCCTACTGTTTCTTATTAGGCCCGAGCAGCTAAGCGCTGCGAAGGCCTATTGTTTTCCTATTGTTTATTAGGCCCGAGCAGCTAAGCGCTGCGAAGGCCTATTGTTTTCCTACTGTTTCTTATTAGGCCCGAGCAGCTAAGCGCTGCGAAGGCCTATTGTTTTCCTATTGTTTATATTAGGCCCGAGCAGCTAAGCGCTGCGAAGGCCTATTGTTTTCCTATTGTTTATTATTAGGCCCGAGCAGCTAAGCGCTGCGAAGGCCTATTGTTTTCCTATTGTTTATTATTATTATTATTATTATTCTTCCACCCAAATGAATTGGCTTTTTGGGGGCTTTATCATATTCAAAAACTCACCAAACTTGGCGGAGGCCTTAAGCCTGTTTAAAATTTACGTATTTTAAAGTCGTCGCAAAAATTGCAACAGAAATGTCTCTACGGCGCCACCTAGAAATTGGAAAAACACCCTTTTTTACCCTCTGCTATTCACTTACTTTATCGTAGAGACATGAAATTTGGTACACTTGTAGAACTCCCCAAGACGCTCAAAATTTATAATTAATGTCATAGTGCAAGTATCACAGGAAGTCAACCATTTTTGATTGAAGTTCCCATTTTGACCCCATTTTTGCCGATTTTTGCCTTTTACAGCCTTTGTATTTGATCTATCTCCTCCTACGGATTTTGATTGATCGACGTCAAACTTGGTCAGTCTGTTCATAAGGCATGTCCCATCTAAAGTTATCTAAACGGTGAGTTTTTGAGTATGCTGAAGGGGGGTTAGCAGGGGTCAAAGTTCACCTACTCGCCATAAATAAATAAACTGCTATATCTCCTACACAGAAACTCACAGAAGCATCAAAGTTTCTGTGATTGATCATCATCGGGTGTCCTACAATACCCTATGGTCGAATGATGACATCACTTAGGCCACGCCCCCTGAGAACAGGAAGTGTAATGTTTTACTGTGAACTGTCGCTATCTGACCCCTTTGACCTCATCAACATGAAACTGTGCCCAGACACAGAAAACATGTTGGTGTATTGAGGATTCCAACCCCGACCAGCTACGATAGAGCAGGTGGGCATGGTGGCGTGGCGAAGTGACCTGTAACGCCATCGCCATACGTTTGGCTCTCAATTCCACATTTTCGGGCCCAGCTGCTGCAAACTCATAAGGATGGACCCTCATCCACTCCCCAACAGGAATCCATCACAATATTTGGTGGGCGTAGCCTAATTTCTCTATAGCGCCCCCTAGAAAACTTTAAATGATCAGCCCCAAGCCATGCTTTAACCTACAAATACGAAACTTTGTACACATGTGTACCTTGTCAGGACGTACAAAAAAGTCTCTTGGAGCCATGGTCTAAACCCCACAGGAAGTCGGCCATTTTGGATTCAAGTTCGGTTTTTGACCCCATTTTTGCCGTTTACAGCCTTCATATTTGATCTATCTCCTCCTAGGGATTTTGATTGATCGGCTTCAAACTCGGTCAGTCTGTTCATAAGGCATGTCTCATCTAAAGTTATCTAAACGGTGAGTTTTTGAGTATGCTGAAGGGGGGCTAGCAGGGGTCAAAGTTCACCTACTCGCCGTAAAAAAATAACTGTTATATCTCCTACACAGAAACTCACACAGGTACCAAAATTACTGTTGTTGATCATCATCGGGTCTACTACAATACCCTATGGTCAAATGATGACATCACTTAGGCCACGCCCCCTGAGAACAGGAAGTGTCATGTTTTACTGTCAATGGTCGCTATCTGACCCCTTTGACCTCATCAACATAAAACTGTGCCCAGTCACAGAAGACATGTTGGTGTATTGAGGATTCCAACCCCGACCAGCTTCGATGGAGCAGGTGGGCGTGGCGGCGTGGCGAAGTGACCTGTAACGCCATCGCCATACGTTTGGCTCTCAATTTTCTTTTTAAAGTTTTATTTTTTTTAATAATTTTGTTTTGTGGGTTAGAGTACAAACATTCATTAATTTTGGCTAGAAATAATACAAACATCGTCATTCAGCAAAACCTTTATTGTGTTACTCAGCTCTGCTGAGTAACACATTCTGGTCAGTGTTGATGGAGTACGACTGGCCTCTGGTGGCGCAATACTGGTACTGCTGGCGCAATACCATTATTGCGCCAGCAGGAGTCACTGGTACTCCATCAATGAGAAAACAAATCAAGTTCGGTTTTTTTCGGACGGCCGTGAAAACGTTTCCAGCGCGTCTGCCGTGATTTCCAAAAGGACAGCGATTACATTTAACCTGAAATGTTATATGTAAGCCCTAAGATAATTTTTGTTGGCTTAAAACACGGAGTAAATGTAGCGTTTTGTTAATGACTGTTATTTCCTACCGCAAGTAAATGCATCATTTCCCTCGTCTCTGCCTTAATGGCCAGTCAAGGGCAAAAACAAATTTAAGCAATTTGATTGGTTGAGAAGGACTGCACGTTCTGTAGCTGTGCTAATACTTACTGTTATGTACTGGCAGTCGGCAGGAGATCGTACATGGTTGAGGTTCGGCGCATTACGCTGTGGACTGTACATTTTTTTTGCTAAACTGTTGGAGCAGCTAAGTTTTCCTGAACATTATGCCTGGTTTATGGAGCCACAGAACCGGACCACGCTAACGTTTGCTTCGGTTTT